TGGTTTGGGAATACGGGGAACAATTGGGAAGCAAAAGTTAATGTTAGGCCAAAAATTAGAAAGTACGTGCTTCATCTCAGCCGAGGCTAAAGTTACATCCACTGTAATGAAATATCTTGTTCCTTAGGGACTGTATTACTTAAGTAAGAAGATAGCGATTATAGAGAATTTTTGCTGAGAGCCTTTGTACACAATATTTCTTAGATGAGATTATGAAATTCTCTCTTTTTACAATGATTACGTCTTCTATTTATTCACCTAACTCTCTAGGGTTTCTACAATTCTTACTTTTCTTGGCTGATTTTGTAGTCCCCTCTTCATTTATCCTATAGCAAAGTCTGTCAACCTGAAGTTTTTTGTGCCCACGATCCATAAAAACATAATGTATACAAGTATTCCCTTTATCAGGGAATATTTGTTCATTAGAATCATCAAAAATTGTCCCCTTGTTCCCCGAACATGTGGCGCGACCGGGTCTACTTGAGGTACATCTGATATGGAGCTCCTTATTCTCGAGCAAGTACATTCCGTCGTGCTTGGTATGACGGAGCAGATACCTACCGAGCTGGATGATCTTGGGCTTTCATGTCCTTGGGCTGTGGCCCAATTTCATAATGACATAGGCGCTCTACACGTGGGCCATTAAGGTTGCTTTTTAATGGGGCCTGTTGGATGTTTTGGATTCCAAATGAACGGCCCAAGCTCAAATCCATCGTTATCACACCTAATTGCGAGTTTGTGTCAATGTCCTATTATCTTGTTCAATAGATTATGGAGTGTTTAAAACGTGAACAATTTTTAGAGTAGAGAGAAGAAATTACAACTTCATTTGCCATCATAAAAAATTGTTTCCATCAAAGATTGATGAATCTTTCCGTCATGTGACAAAGTGATTTTTTAGTCGAAGTGTGCTCCATAATACTGTTTTTAGATTTTTGGTAATTTAAGTCATCACTCCGTTGAAAATCTCTATTGTAGGAATTGCACTGCAACACTAAGAATTACTCCAATCACGTACGAGAACACTTTAAAAAAATAGTATTTGTTCCCACCAATTATTTATAAATGTGTGCACCAAAAGTTTCACAAATTTGTTTTCAAAACACAAATGAAGTTTCTTAAACCTGCTCACGTATTATATTTATGAACTCAGTATCCAAATATCTTAAGGAAATTAAATAGTCAACTTCTATATGATTTTAATTTAAACTGTAAAATCCATTTTTATAGGAATGGGATGGTCAGAGTATGTTTACTTTG